ATTTTCTATGGATCCTGCCTCCACACATCCCCCTCTCCAATTTTCCACTTCCTGACACCTCTATGGCTAAGAAATGCTGCCTACACCCCGTGCCCGTAATGTATAAGGGTTGTGAAATATAAATGCTCCAATGTTTGCAGGGGCGATTTCTCTCCTCTCTCTCTCTCTCTCTCCTCTCTCTCTCTCTCTCTCACTCTTTCTCTCTCTCTTCTCTCTCCCCTTTCTCTTTTCTCTCTCTTCACTTCTCTCTTCTCTCTCTCTTCTTTCTCTCTCTTTCTCTCTTTCCTCCTCCTCTTTCTCTCTCTCTCTCTTTCTCTCTTCTCTCTTTCCCCTCTTCTTTCTCTTTTCCCTCCCCTCTTCTTTCTACTCTCTCTCTCTCCTCTTTCTCCTTCTTTCTTTTTTCTCTTTTTTCCCTCTCTCTCTCTTTTCTCTCTCTTTTTCTCTTCTCCCCTCTCTCTCTCTCTCTCTTTCTCTCTCTCTCTCTCTCTCTCTCTCTCTCTCTCTCTCTCTCTCTCTCTCTCTCTCTCTCTCTCTCTCTCTCTCTCTCTCTCCCCCCCCCCCCCCACGTGACACAACATAGTGTGCCAAATAATACAACAAATGCAGAAATAAAGCTAAAAGTTCCAACGCTATTATTTTTAAATGTTTTTTTTTTTTTTTTTTTACAGAAAACAGTTCTGAGGATGTGGGGGGTACACCTGGTGGGCGTGAGTGGCCTCGGGGGTGTGGCAGTGGGCGGCACTCGCTTGCAGCCACCCAGGCAGCCGACCTAAATCAAGGTGAGGCAGAATATATGGTTGAATAAACTGTATAATGGGGAACACTTCTACAGGGTGAGAGACATTCAAATGCAGATGAGATACATTCTATGCGGTGAGATACATTCATGCGGGTGAAATACATTCTAAACGAGTGAGAACATGCTCCCACGGGTTTGAGAGACATTCTGCACGGGTAGATACATTCAAACGCGAGTGAGAGACATTCTATGCTAGATAGAAACATTCATGGGGGTGAGATACTTTCCCACCAGTGAGAGACATTGTAACACGAGTGAGAGAGATTGTAACGAGTGAGAGATGTTACAACCATGAAAGACGTTTCTACACGAGAACATTGTTCACTCAAGAGACATTATGCAGAATATATAAAGCCTATATAAACCCTTTTAATTAAGGCCGTTCATTTAGTGGTACTCATTCAACATACAGTTACTTGTTGAACATTACAATTGCTCACTCAATATGCAGTTGCTCGTTCAACATGCAGTTGCTCTTTCAACAATGCAATTTGCTCGTTCAACATACAATTAACCTCTCCTGCTTCCCTTTTGCCTCCTCTTCTGCCTGCTTCTGCCCCCTCTTCTACCCCTTCCCGTCCTGTCTTCGCCCCCCCCCCCAAACCCAACTCTGGTCCATTTGCTTACGGCTTGCCCAAAACTGGGTTTAACATACAATTGTTCCTTCAACATACAATTAACTTGTTTAACATACAATTACTCATTCAATATACAGTTGCTCATTCAGCATACAATTCAGTAAAGTGTAACTTCAAATAACCCATGTTTTTAGGGCTTTTTCTATTTTATTGACATTTTCCTATCCTGTCATCGAAATTTTTAAAAAAGGGCCATTCATGAGTGAGTTCACTCTACAAAATAACGTTATGTGAAGGGACAGCACATTTGATAAAGGACACAGATTTAACTTGTGTAACATTTTTAAATTTTGCAACTTACTTAACGTTTCCCCTCTCTAGGAGGTTTTTCAAGATGTCACATTTGTTGCATCTGCATCCTTTTACCTAATATTTTGTCGGTAATTCTACCATTTTTCCTAAGGAAAAAGCATAAAGGCATAAAACTAGGGGCAGTGCCAGAATTTTTCAACTGGGGGGCTTAGGGTGGCCCCCTGGTTGGAAGGAGATGCTAAGAGAAACCACGATACAGATGGGGTTAGAGCCCATGGCAGGTGAGTTGTAAAACTCCAGGCCAGTGCATAAGCCAATGACCCAGTGGCTTACACACTGGCCCGGAGTTTTACAACTCACTTGCCATGGGTTAACCACACCCATACTGTATTTGTTTGCAATTGTATTTTACAATTTCATGAGTCAGGTGCTAAGAGACTTTTTTTTTAAGCAGTTTTTTTTATTGGGGGGCTGAAACCCCCCTAGGGCTGCCTTGGTATAAAAAAAAATTTTTATTCTGTTTCAGGTAATATAGGGAAAAAATTCTATGGTAGTAATGGGGATGGCATCAGCAACACAATTCCACAAGGTTATAGCAACAAGGGTTTTACCACAACTCGGATACAGTGTTAGTAAATAGTAAACACAATCTCCAAACAACTATAATTTTGCCTCTACAGAAACATGGACTCAGTTTTACAAATATGGGAGCTCCTCTCATAACTCTAAAGAGTCCTATGGGTGAGTAGCATGTTTGTTCTTTCTGACCATTTGAATTATAAAAAAATATTTAATTGCCTTAAATATCTGATTTTTGTATATATGGTGATCTTATTGACTTCTTGATATAGTTAGTTCTTTCTTCAGCAGTGTACAATGTCAAGATCAGGGTAACTATAAAAATGCAGTTGAATAAGTTTTGCTAGAACTGAAATGCATATTTAAATTTGCATAATTTTAGTTAATGGTCTTGTTTGTAGAGGGGAGGAGGAGATATGGAGAATGGGGAAAAACATTTAAGTGAACCATTTTCTCCTATTCCCACAGGGCTCCAGCATCTTATCAACAGGGACAGTCCCGTGCCAACAAGTCTGATTCTCTTCCGGCTCTCTCAGCCCTGGCACTTCTTGCTTTCTGTACTTCCCAACCTCATTCAGGTTTGGCATTTAGTTTAACATTAGGAGTCCCTCCACGACTATAGTAATGACTTGGGTACAACCCACAAGACATAGAGGCAAGCCAGTCTATAATTTGTCTTCTTGCTAGATGCCATTTGGTAAATGGGCAGCCATAGGGTTTTGGCTTGTTTTTGCCATTATCCTCCTGTGGATTATCATTACATAAAATATATAATGTCACCATAAACATATGGGTGATGGCCCTTATCTGTGAGATAATATATGCAAGAAGTACTGTACTGTATAATTTCACTTTGTCTTATTTGCTGAAGGTTATATGATGTAATCATATGTGAGCATGTAATAATGTGGGGTTACTTTAATGTATGATCTTTGAACTAAATATATATACTTAAACTGAATACAAAAACTGTATATAAGATTACCTACTCACCTAAATGTGGTTGCAGGGGTCGAGACTCGGTATTGTTGTATGGGGGTCCAGTGATTTAGCTTTTGTCATAAACTCTATATACTCACCAAAGAATGATATGGCAATGAGAAAATTAAGGTTCTTGTGTATTCACCCTTCTTTCAAATGGTTCTTGACATTCTTTTTATTGGTAGGACGTGCTGCAGAAAACAGTGGCCGACGGAGAAGGTCACTTCACCCTGGAAGGTACACTTGGAGGATGAAGAGGAGGAAGAGCCCTACTCTACCTCATACGTTGAAGGAAAGCAGCTATCCAATGATACTCAGCAAAATGTATATGGAGTCTCTGCCCATGTTCATCAAGATTATGCAGGAGACTATGAGGACAGAATGCTGAAATCTTCTAAGGTTGCTCCACGTTATTTCTCCTTCTTGGAGAACTTCTTTATCAAGCTTCCTAGAATGCTTGGATTAAGGCCTTGGGTACGTATACGAATACTTATCAGGTGCTTAGAAATGTTTGTTATAATTGCAGTTAACTGCATAACAAACCTTACTTAATAGTATGTCTAATTCTTAGGTATTCTTTGAACATTTAAAATTAGCTTGCCCAAAATGCATTGCATACTACTATAAAAGGCTTTTTTGTACCCAAGAGTGTTTTATTACATGTAAACTGCATAAAAAGAGATAAAATTTTGGATTTGAATTTGAATGTTCAGTATAGCTAATCAGTGAAATCACTTAAAAGTAAGGCTGGCATTGGCTGGTCTTCTTTTGCTCATTTGCTAAATTGTTGCTTGAGATAGTCTTGTTTTATTTTATTGACACATTTTAAAAGGACCAGAAGATTGCAGCACATGAGCCTGTACAGTAAGGTTTCATTTCTTCAGCAATCCGTGGACGGGGAAACGGCAGAGATGAAAATTTTAAGGGGAATGGGTGGCTACATCACCTCCAGGCGAAGATGATATCATCCATCATGAGCTTCCTACAGAACCCGAGCCCAGCCAGAGTTCGCCGTGCAGCTCAGGTGGGAATTATGTAGAACCCATCAGAATCACATTACTGAAATGTACAACTACCGTTCCTCAAATACATACAAAACTCTTTCCCGGAGATATGTCTTAATGCTGGTTAAAGATCTTGTTCCAAGGAAATGGAGATATCCTTTTCCTGGAATTGAACCTGATATCTCTCCCATTTCCTACACTGTATGATCACTATGGGGTTTGTGCTTTTTCTATGAATAAAATAAGGATAATGTTCAATAATTCTTTTACAACAAATTTTAAAAATAATTTATTTTAATTACCAAAGGGAACGAGTATTTATAAATTTTCAGTTTTTTGCAAAATAAATTCATTTACAGTTCCAATGAATTTGCATCTTCCAGGGCTCTGATTTGGTATTTGTTGTGGGGAGGATAGACCTGAGTCCTGGATAGGTTCATCATTTAAGTCCCTTTTACTGCTCCTAAGAGAGAAATCTCCAAGATTACTTTAAACCCAGAAGGTCTTGGGAAAAGAGTCAGTTACATGTAAGTTTTCAGTATAAGAAAACACTGGATAATATCGTAAGTTTGTCTGAAAATAATAGATGTCTTGGCTCATGGGAATTTAAAACATATTCTTTTTACTTTACAGGCAGAAAGTGAAGCTGAATCTTTTTTTTCAGGTGAAAGCTAAAGCAACTAAGATGACGTGGTTTCAAACAAACGGGAAAAGCGGCATACACAAATTCATGAATGCCTGGGAAAGGAGATCTAGAGGGGGAAAATAATGAGGTCTCCCTAGGTTTGGGAAACATGGTCGAGAAGGTAGGTAAGAAAAAGGAATAAAATCTCTGATTATTTAATCATCTCTGGGGCATTCATCAGTTAAAAAATAAAAAGGGAATGGTAGTGTACTGTATATATTTTCTAATAGTAGTGTGTGTATAATTTTACAGTATGCCTCATTTAATTTTTTAATTCACATATTCGTGCTGTTGGCCCTTGCAGGTTTAGCACTTAATCTGATTAAAGGATGGAGGAGGGGGGTAAAAGAGGTTTTGGATGGGAGGGGGGTTGGGCATACAGCAGGCATGTTGTGAGCATATTAGATAATAGTGAATGGTGACTAATGTTTTTTTTTGGGGCTTTACAAGCTGCTGGAGTGTGAGCAGGGTATATTTTGTGAAGGGATTCAGGGAAACTGGTTAGCTGGGCTTGAGTCCTGGAGATGGGAAGTACAATGCCTGCACTTTAAAGGAGGGTTTTGGGATATTTGCTGTTTGGATTTACATCTGAACTGTCATATCTGTGCACCTCTGCAAAGACAGTGTTTATGTTTGAATGATGGGAAAAGTGTTTGTCCTTTTTGGGCCACCCTGCCTCGGTGGAAGACGGCCAGTGTGTTACAAAAAAAAATTGTATATTAGTTTGTTCTACTTTTCTGTTCTAGATAATGTCACTTATGAGTGGAGGAAGAAAGTTACAGGAAATAGTGAAGGCAGATTCTCTACCGACACTGCTTGAGCTGACTCGTAGCTTGGATGGTTCCCACCCACAGTGTCTGCAGCATGTCTTGTGTCAGTTGAACTCTCACTCTAACCAACTCCCATTCTTATCACGTATAACTATAAAACTCCTCAGGTTAGTCATCTTCAGAGGTTTTGTTTATTACCAAAATTTAAGTATCTTCAACATTACATGTTCCTAGTGCTGTACAGCTGTACAGATTTAATATTGATAGGTCCTTGAAATTCATCTTGATCATGCCATTATTTTTTATTTACATTACCATAATAAAATTATTTCCTGATGTTACATAATTGCATTTCATCCTAATAAGAGACCAGCAGTGGAAATGTTTGTATTATTGGCGAATATTTTCTGTACAGTACAGTACATAATGCTTGTACTTTTTGTCATAGTATTAAAAACAGTTAAATAAATAGCATGCTTATGATTATAATATTTGTTGTAAACCTTGGTAATTGATGCCAACAAATTTGTTTAAAAAGACACACGAGCAAATACCAGGCCATATTTATTAGAAAACGTTTTGGTCCTGGGGCCTTGATCAAAATCCCGGGACTGAAACATTTTCTAATAAGTATGGCCTAGTGTTTGCTCACATGTCTTTTTACACTATTATAATATCTGGATTTCACTTTGACAGTGCTAACCTGGCAGAGATCTCCACATCGATGTCTGTTGGAGATGATAATCAACAAGCTATTGTGGCTGGCCAGCGAGGTGAGGACTGTGACGAAGTCTTCACTGGCTGTGACATCATGAGCACCACAAAGAAAAAGTAAATAATTGTGCTGCTGCCGGAGAAAAAATCATGTACCTTTACTGTATTTACAGTTGCAGCGCTGTGTGACCCTTATGGGTTTAGCGTTTAATTTGATGATGTATTTATAGTTACATATAATAAAGACAAGTAAATATTATGTACAATGTACTGTATTCATAGAAATACAGTAATCACCATGATATTATATAGATTTTTTTGGGCATACAAATTATACATTCCTGTAGGGAAGCAGGTCAGAATTCTTCCCTCTTAAGCAGTTGGTGTTGTACACAAGTGCTAGGAACAAGGAGCTGGTTACCCCTTCATCTCTAAGTACTGACTAAACAGAGTAGGAAATAAATGTTTTCTACATTGGGCACCCTGCCTGGGTGGGAAATGGCTTTTTTATTTAAAAAAATAAATATGAATATAAACATACGTACCATATTTATATTGAAGTGTTAAGTTCTTGGACTATGAGTGCTTCATTAAAGTGAAATATTACATATTTAATCAGAGTACAGTATTATAAATAAAAATTAGAAATTACTTTTCTTTAGTAAACCTTTAATCAGTCCCTTTGGGGGAATAACCAATCCATTTCACTGCACAATATTCCTTTGTTAATACTTTTTTTTTTTTTTTTTTTTTTTTTTTAATCTTGGTCTGGAATTAGACCTGTCGGTCAAACTTCCTCAGACCAAAAAAACCTAATACCCCCCAAATCCCCCGTTCCCTACCCCATCCTCCCATTTTTCCTTTCCTCCTCCCCCCCATCCTCCCCTTTTTCCTTCCTTTTTGGCCTTTTTTTTTTTTTTTTTTTTTTTTTCACGGGCACGCTAGTTCCTAGGTAGGGGAAAGGGTACCGGGGTCCATCCCATTCCATTGAGGTTCTTGGCGGTGGCGTAGTTTGCCGTGGAATCTGGATGCCTGGGGATGTCCTGATCCCTCTCCGGTATCCCGGAGGGTGGCTTTGGTGTCTCTGGGCGACGGGTGTAACTCTGGAAGCCACCTTTCGGATTCCGGGGTGGTGCCGAAGGAGGTATGTTTTGTGGCGGATTTCCGGCCCCGCCCTCTCTTTTGTCCACCGAGGTAGCTCGGCAGATGGTGAGGTTGCTATCCCGGATTGCCGGTTTACTGGCATGATGGGTTTAGGGTATGGCATGGGTTCCATGCTGCATCTGCGCTACTTGCGGTGCTGAGGTCCTCTTGGGTGCGGAGGGAGATTTCTGGCCCTTCATTCCTCCTAGGAACTATCCCTCCCGGTCCCCCCTTTTTTTATTCTTTTTTTTTTTATTTTCTTTTCTTTCTTTTTTTCTTAAAAACAAAAAGAAAGAAGTAACCTAACCATGGCAGCCCTAGTCCATGAACCTGCTACCCCCCGGCCCCTTCTTGATACCGCAACCCCGTTCTGAACCCCGCCTCGTCTTTGGACCAACTCTTCGGCATTCCTCATGCCTCTGTACCTCTTGCCGGTGCAGTTTCCTCACACCGCTTCAGGTACTGAGGCCTCAAACTGACCCCTTTCGATTTAATCTGACCTTCGCTCTCCTCTTGACTATGCTTCCGGCCTCTCCCCTACGGTGCGGCAATTTTTCGAATCGCCGGCCCTTCCACGTCGGACCAACTCTGGTCCCACGCCTAAACGACAATGACAATTACCTGCTGATGATACTTCTCCACCTTCTCGTTCTTCTCAGAAAAGATCGACACGTCCTTCACTACCTTTCCACGCTCAGTTTCAGACTGCACAATGGACTAAATTCTTCACTTTAAACGACCGACTTCCTCTACTGCCTATCTTTCTGACCACAGTATTGGCAAGGCACTCCTACGCCATGTTGGTAAAGATATTTCTTTTCATGCTCTTAAGAGCGGTACGCGCATCGTCACCGTACAGAATGCTACCCAGGCTCATGAGCTTTCTCGTCTTTCCCATATCGATACTGTTCCTGTAACTATTGAAAAGCATCATTCCCTCAATTCTTGTAGTGGTACCGTCATTCTGCCCCCATACCATAGTTCAACAAAATTTCCAGACATGTGGCACTGACATTCTTGAACAGCTGGAACTCCAAGATCTCCCAATCCTCAAGGTAGATACTTACGTTCTTCCTGCCCGCAGGCGGAGACGATACCCTAGCAATGTGGCTCGTTTAACTTTTGACAGCCGTGAACTCCCATCCTCAGTTTATGTAGCAGGACAAACGTTACAAGTTCAAAAGGTGATCCCTACAAACCCCAACAGTGTAGAAATTGCTGGCGATTTGGCCATCCAGCGAAATATTGCAGATCTATCGCCGAATGCCCAGTCTGTGGTGCCGATGACCATTCTAATACGTCTTGCAATTGACCTCCCTCTTGCCTTAACCCTTTGACTGTTTCAGGCCCCTCTCTGAAACTGTCATTCTATGTCGCCAAATATTCGAAAAAAAAAATTATTTTTCTTATGAAAATGTAGAATTTTTTTTTACTAGTGTTTTAAGCCTAAAAAAAATTTTTTGCCATCAGTACTTACCGAGATATAGAGCCGCAAAGTTTGCAGAAATTGACGTGCGTACGGCAACAGCGGCGACTGCCGCCCACCCGGTATTCTTTTATTTACTCTAATTCAAAGGTTTCTTGCATTTTCAATATTTTTCTTTCCAGGTAACTTATGTGGCCTGTGAGACCAATGTAAGGTGCATTGTTCAAATATACACTCATTATTTACAACACAAAACAGAACAAACTTTATCACTATTAGTTTGTGTATACACTTTTTACACAAACAAACAATACAAAACAATGTTTATTACTATTGTTCCATAATATATATACATATGTACAGTCACTAACCCAGGGTTTCCTAGAACTGCTGCAGCTTGTGGAACTCTTTGAAACATGGGTATATGCAGAGGGGCACTTCACACTCCTCACACATAAAACGAGTGTCTCTGCGTGTTTGGGGCGTTTTGTGGTATGCATACATACTAACACCCTTCTGAGCATTTTTTGGCAGTAGTAGGAGGAGTTTGTATGGGGTAGTGATCACCAGGCCTCATACGAGATGACGTCTGTGGGGCGCGGGTTTCTATTGCAGGAGTTGCCCCTTGGTACTTTTGCAATTATTTGTCTGATTACTGACAGGCAAAATTCCCCATATTTTGGTGTTTTTTTGGTCTTCAACTTGTATATGTTATAAAGCATTTAGCATAGAGATATCAACAAGATGGAAAAAAGTTGATAAAACCACTTATAACTCTTGCGTACACAGTCTGCAAACCCAACTGCATGTCACTTTGGTCCACTAAGCGCATATTGAGGTTGTAGTCCATGACAGCTGCAGGCTTTAGAATGGGTTCATTGGTCTCTCTGTTGTCCCTGCCACTGGGTACCATTTCGTTTGTGTGAACTGATGTCAACAAGGGTGACATCACGTTTGCCCATGCCACCGAAATGCCATGATGTCATTGGCAGCAAAGGCTTGCACCTCACCTCTGCGATTTGCCAGCATCGAACCTTGGATATGTTTGCGATTACCCGCACTGTGCCACACACGTCTGTCAAGTTCACTCGCAAGAAATCACTGAGTAAGGGGCTTGTGTACCAGTTATCAGTAAATAACATATGCCCCTTACCAAGATATGTTCCATCATTGTTCGAACCACATCACCAGAGATACCCAATAACTTCATGGTACTCTCAAAGTATTACTGCCAGTGTACACAATAATATCTAAAACAAGCCACTTCTGCAATCACACAGTACAAATAGTTTTAATACCAAAGCGTTTCCTCTTGCTTGGTATATATTGCTTGAATGAGAGTCTTCCTTTGAATAAAAATCAAGGACTCATCAATAACAAGCTTCCTGGAAGGGATAAAAATACGTGCAGCACTTTTGTTTCAGGTACATAAACACATTTCTATCTTATATAACTGTCGCTTCTGTCAGGCCTGGTTTTTTTCTGAAAAGTTGTAACATACTAACAGTATCAGGAAACGATTGACACCTATAATGTCACTAAAACCTGGAGTTGAAATCAGGCGATCTGTTTTTCCAGTATGTGGTGACAGTGTGCTTATACACATGTGGCATAAGCATTATTGTGGCAAAAAACAGGTACATCTCTGCCACAGTTGTCTCCTTCCACTTGTGTAGCCGTGATTTTGGTGAGAGAATTGTATTTGCCATGGTGTAATCACAGTATGTATTTGTTTCCCCCGACAATGATGTCCATCAGGGTTCATCGAAAATAACTCAAAGCAGTCCAGTTCACTGGGATTGTTCCCAAGAGGACAAGATGGCTTTTATTCCCCTTTGTGTTTCATCAAAGTCATGGGACTGGGAACAAACTCGTCACCGGTCCTGCCAATCCCAGATGCGGGCTGCTGGTTGGGGTCTGGATATTGTACCGTGGTTGTGGCTGTGCAGGTTGTGGTGGTGCAGGTTGTGGCAGTGTGGGGTAGTGAGGCTGGTTGTTCTGCTGAGTCAGGCCGCGTGGGTAGTAGCGTGGCCCGTTGATGGTGCCACATGGGCCATGCCACCCTCACTATCACCACCACTGCCTCCTCCCTCACTGTCACCATTCATACCCATCGTTACAATATCGTCATCTTCACTATCAGGTTTGTGGTGTAGGGCCACGGGGTGTGCTCCCCGAGTTTCCTTTTTCCTTTCCCTTGGGAAAAACATATGAAACACTACCCAGACCGCATACTACGTTCGTACATACTGGCGCTTCACTGGGGGAAAATTCACTCTCACGTCACTAGAACTTGCTTTCCCTTGACCTTGAAATCACTATCACTATCACTGCTATCATCAGGGTGTTGTACACGACCAAATAGTTTCCTCTTTCGTCCTGGTATAGGCGAACGTGAACGTGAACAAGCCGGCACAGCACCAGAGGTCCCAAGGTTGTGGTCATCTGGGTTTTTCGTCACTATTTACGTTATCCTGGGCACTTTTTTTGGTAACACTCACTTGAAAACCCCTTTAATTCACTGTCACGACATTTTCATCGCTTTTAGAGCTACAATTGGGGAAAAAAAGCCCCTCCAGTCCGCCAAGGAGGAGGAACTTCTTTAAAAGGGGCATGGTGAAAAGGATGACAACAGGGCCCCCACAATGAAAACCGCGGGGGCCCCACTTTTTTTTACGGGGGGCACACGCCCCTGAACCCTTTCCCCCCGTGTGGGCCTCCCGGGGCCTTGGCGCTCGTTTGAAGGCTAAATTTGGGGTATAAATAGTCGAAAAATTGGCCTAAGACTATTTATAGTGGGAAACTTAAAAGGGTTTAAAGTCATGAGGCCCCCTTGTACTCTCACCTTGTCAAGTCTATTTAAAAAGAGCGGGAAATCCGTTCCCCAAAAAGACGCAAAAGGGTCTCCTTATGCAGGCATTTTCTCACTCCCTTCCAAGGGGAGACACCTCGTGTTTCTTTTTTCCCGTTTTAAAAACTTCCCCCACTCCGGGTATCCATCTTCTGCACCCCCTTGTATTCCCTCTCCCATAGTCACTCCTTTAGCAATTT